TGAGAACATCTTCGAAATCTTGTTAAATCTTTTAAGATCAGGGGTGCAGGGGCATCAGGCTATGATGCGCTTCGAGAAACGGAGGCAACGAGAAGATGAAACGATAGAAAAGTTCCTAGACGACTTGAAACTGCTGAGAAGACGCAGCCAACCGGATGAGTCAAACAGAAGGTTGAATCTGGCAGTAGCCTCGAAATTCATTGATCGTGTGAAGAATGATGAACTTCGAACAATGCTAGCAACGCATTACACACCACTATCAACCAATGCGCCAACACCAGAGGAGTTGAGGCTCAAGTCAAAAGAATATCTTTTGTTGAAACCTCCTTCGAGATCCGGATATTATAAGATTAATTACGGCAATTTTAACAACGGACCAACAAACCAAGGGAACAACTGGTACAAACCGAGGAATGATGTGGACAAGAGACGCTCTTGTGTCAATTGCAGTTCAACGGACCATCATGTGTCAGCATGCCTAACTTACAAACAGGGCATGAAAGCGCTAGGCTTTAGCCTCGAGGACGAAGATGCGTCAGAAGTTGACCATGAGGATTTCATGAGAGGAGTAATTGCAAAATTCGGCCCGAGGTGTTTCTTTTGCAACTTGGAAGGTCAATTTAAATCAGATTGTCCGCAATTCTGGGATGCTGTAGCAGACATCAAGCATCCAAGGCATGAGGAAGCTTTATCAGGAGTGAAAGCCAGCAAGGCCCGCCTATTGAGTGAAGAGTAGGCTCGCAGAAAAGACAAACCGCAAGAGCTGGCGACGAAGAAAATGCAAGCGGTAACTGAAGAGACATGTGAACCGGAACCAGTGACTGCGGCCGCTGACTTCAAGATTGATTATAGGGCAGCCACGAGGGATGCTCTAAATAGAGTGCAGCAGGAACTGGTGACAAAAGAGATCGAACAAAAAGTGAAACTCGAACTGGAAAATGAGAAACTACAGGAGCAACTGAATACCTTCGAGGCAACAGAAGTCGAAGAGACAAATGCACCAAGTAGTTTGAGAATGAAACTTAATGTGATCTCCGGTCAGAGGTTCAGCATGGTGCCGCAAGGAAGCAGAATACAGTCGATAATCTTGGTAGCAGGACACCAGGTAATCAGAAATCTGAGTGGACCATCAGAGTTCACTTTGATGCATTTGGACACATATGCAGATTATCTAAGGCAGGTGGAACCACGCACTGAGTCGAGGTCTGTGCCAGCACTAATAACAACGGGTGGCCCGCGAGTAAAGAAGCTTCATGGACGCTACGTGGAGGTCTCTGGGCCGTATCAAGTGATGCTGAACGTAGATGGAATCAGTATCTACACTAGGACTTATGTGACAACAGATAGTGACCAAATAGGGCACTGTTTGATTTTAGGATATTCACTTTCAAATGATAGAGTCAAGCATGATGATAGGCTTGTTGAGAAGAATCTTGGCACCAAGATAATCGCGAACCACAATCACTTTCAATCACTGGCCAACTTCTGCGGACAAATGAATCTGAACTTCGCCTCAAAGCTGCTCCCTCTCAAGGACTAACGGAGTCAAGACTTTGTGACATGCCAACACAAAAAAAGTTTTCAAAGTATCAACCAAGAACTCTGCTCAAAATCAGTCGTTGGTCTTGCTTCCTGGACAAAGAAGTAACTGACCACCGATGCTTCAGAGCAGGAATTTGGCAGGGTTCTCTTATGAGAAGGATTCAAGGGTCTTCGTTTAAATGAAGCTATCATCAGACGAGGGCAATTACTCCAACATTGAAGAAGAAGATTTAGCAATCGTGTTTGTGGACGCACGGCTGAAACGTATCCTACTTGGGTGCAAAATTCCACAGATCACAAACCCTTGCAGCACCTCTTTGCGCCAGGAGGGGAGATACTGAAAACAGCATCAGCTAGAATATCCAGATGGGTTACTACGCTGATGGAGTTTGACTATAAGTTGAACTATGTGCCAGGAGCTCAGATCCCACACGCGGACGCTCTAAGCAGGCTGCATTTTGACAACAAGACGCCAGAAGAGGAAGAAACTTGTTTCCTTAATGCTGACATCTTTTTCGCAAAAACTCAAAGAAAAAAGCTGAACAATGACAAAAGTAATCTAAAATTGAATCGAAAATTTTGGGACGGCTTCAAACGGAGACAGAGCGGTGATTGGATACAATTCTTAGTAGCTGAAAGCTTAGAAGCTGAAAACTAACACTTCAACTTAGAAACTGAAACCTTGACAACATAAGAAGGCGTCATCTACAGGGCGGTGTACCTTTCTTAATGCCAAAATTCAGAAGAAAAATTTTAGACGATGCCAACAAGACTCACTCAGGAAGACAAGTAACCAAAAACGCGCTGAGATTAGTTGCTTGGCATGTCACAAAATGTAGAACGACTTAACTCAATTTGTGAGATTTGTCAAATGAACTTTGGAAAACAGTTTTCGGCCAGAAGCAGACGTATGGGAGCGAATTCAAATAGACTGGGCACACATCACAGAGCAAGAAAACACCTTGGTTGTTGTTGACAGAGGAATTGACTGGTTTGGTGCATTCCGGACCAATGACAGAGCTACTCTAACTGCTATGAAATAAGAAATTTCTGTCATCAGTCTTTGCAAAGTTTGGAGTACCAGAAACTCTAGTTTTTGAGCGGTGACTTTAAAGCTTGTTGCAATTCTCAGGGAAATCGCAAAAAGTAATCACCGATCTACCATCCAAGAGCGAATGGACTAGCAGAAAAAGCACGTGAGACAATTAAACATGCCATGAAGGCCTGGGAAAAATTTTATCATTCAATCTTTTTGCCTTTCTCCAAAAAATTAACGACGCTTAGAAATGCTTCAAAGCAAGAAGAAAAAAAAAGCAGAACTTGTTTTCCGACGACAAACCAGGCTACTTATCATCATAGATTTTGACGTATGTGAAAAATCTCTTCAAACCAAACAAAGACACGGAAGCACAGTCTACAACTTTTATCATTCGACATGGAACCAACGCATCCTGGATCCATTTCAATCAATCTTTGTGTGATTGTGTAATTTAAATCATATTGCGAGATACAAACAAGAGACCAAAACCAAAGATGGAACGAGTGACATCGTCGATGATGAAACTCCAATATAACCTGAAAAGAAGAACATTCTTCACCAACTCCAGATATCAATCTGAACCGGGCTCAGACAAACCCAAACGATCTTCAAGATTCCGGAAACCAACAGAACACAAAGGAGATCCAATAACGACAGATTTTCTTTGAAAAGGATATTTTGATCTCAGAAGTTATCGAAGTGAAAAATCTTAGTATGAATTTTAAAGAGAACAAATAAATGAACTTACCTGATCTATTGAAGCGTATTAAATTAATTCAGAAGCGAATCTGTGTTTTTTGTTATCTCTTAAATCAACTTTCAAAATTTGTCAACCATGATAGATTCTCATGATAATAATCAATCCTAGCCAATGGTTAAATCATGGTTAAATCAACTTTCAAAACTTGTCAACCATGATAGATTCTCATGATAATAATCAATCCTAGCCATGGGCTGTCAAAAAAGCTAACCTCAATGGCAAAGTATTGAACGAAGACCACCCATTTTCCGACACGAAGAAATTCTTCTACAACTTGCATGGAGTCAAGTTTTTTGAATAAAGGGAATTTTCATACGCTTGCCATTTGAATGGCGTATCGACGAAAGGTTGGAGAACTCTTCCTGGATCTTTCAAATTTGCATCGAGAACACACTCAAAATAATCAAAGGAGTGATTTTTTCAAGACGACCGGCTTGTCTATGAACATCTTGTGAGCAAGTAAAAAAAAATCACCGTCAATTAAATCTAGTCAAACTCGAAACCACTCACAATTGTTTGATTTGCAGGCTACTCAATTTCAGCTGATGACATTAAACCTGAGAAGATTCGTAGCACAAAGTTCCTCTCAAACCACAAAAAACTTAATTCACTTTCTGGACTGGGCAAATTTTGCGGACGATGCGGGGGAAAACGAGGTGTCGAAAATTTTAAAAACTTTTTAGCAAATGGAATTATTAGCTAGAATTGACGGCCACCAAATGTCGATCAAACTATATAGTTTGATAGATATTCGATGGCAAGCAAATTAAGCTAATTCTGAGAAACGTGCTCCAAAACTTTCGCAATACGTTAAAAAATAAAAAGCTGGCGCCGCAGAAAAATTTTGACTAAATTGGTCATTTTGGCGCTTCAGGAAAATTTCTTGACAATTGGCCATATTGCTAATTCGGCTTTCCCTATATTGCTTTGCAGGCGTTTGCAAACACACAATTTTTCATTTCGATGGTTTTTTATAATACGTAACCAATGCATAATATAGTACTTTTAACGTAACACGTGATGGGAAGCCATTTAAAATTCAAACTCAAAAAGTATCTTTTTTTTCTGATTGTTTGATTATCTTTTCAATCAAAGATTTTCCAAGTCGGAACAGTCGAGAATTTTTAATCATTTTCATTTTCGGATAAATGAAAAGGCATTGTTGGCTGCGAATATTGCGCAATCCGTCCTTCTTGCATGAGAATAATCCACTCATTCAAGAATCATCCTGAACCTGTCTTTGCGACCACTCGTTTTTATAGCTGCGATGATTTGGGTCGTGACCTTTTTACGACTATGGATGTCAAAACTCAACCGAAAGACAAAAGCAAAAAAGCAATACAAAGAAGTACTGGTGTTTATATATGTAATTTATGGGACACCAAACTGTGAAAACTTGAACCTCATAGCATGACTTCGATACAAGTGCTTGGTTTTATAAATATTTTTGATAATCAACAAAATTATAAAATGTATATTGATTGACTTGACCAGAACCAAACTTTTCGATCATGGTCACAAAATTCAATTATGTTTTACTCTCGAATTGGCCCTTTAAGTAAAGTTTAAGTATCTAAGTAATTTTTTTTTGCTGAAAAGGCATGTAGCTTCTTATCTGTAATCTTGACAAATCTTGTGCCTCTGTAATAAAATTGTTCGTTCTTAATTACTCAACATTCATTATTAAACAAAATGATTTTTCTTTTATTTAAGCTTCAAAATCTCAACTGAGGCGCAAATAAAACGAAATTACCACATGAAAATTAACAGCAGAAAAATATACAATGCGTGTGCATCAGTTTGTTAAGTTATATTTTCTTGAATAAAGTTGGCAGCCAGTACATCTTATTTTAATGGACGTCAAAATACCATCTCGTGAACAAAAAAAAACGAATTCAAAATCTTCTGAAAACAAACAACTATTCTCAAATTGTGTGCGTTTTTAAACTATCGAACTGAGACCAGAACTTATGGCGGATGATTTACATCAATTCAATCGTGCGTACTGCTGCCAATGCCTGGAGAAATTGAAGTATGACATTCGGATATTGCCCTGCAGGAAGCACCGGATATGTGGCCTCCAGTCTGGTAAAAGTTGTCTGGCCATAGTTCTGGCACAAGCAGAGCGAAGGTGTCCCTCATCCGACTGCGGCGTGTTGTTTCCGGCGACGATGAACATAATTAATCTCCCAAATGTTAACTCACCTGTCAATCCCGATAGAAACAAGAACACGTATCAACAAGCAGGTAATTGAATTTTTATATGTTTTCCTTTCAAGATATAGAGGTTCTGTTGGATAATTGTAACAATTTTGTTTACGAGACTAAACAAATACATCCGAGCGGTCACAAACTGCCTGTTTTAGGGAGCCACGAAAAAAATGCAATTTCTCTTGGATCAGTGAAACATTATAATGAATGAAAATTTGAACCAAGACTACAAACACAGAACTCTAGTTGAAAGAAAACTAAAAAAAAAACAAATTACAGAAATAGTTAGCGACTGGAAAATGGTAAATAACAAGATCAATTGATCTGCTTCAAGTGTACACTGTGCCACAGGATATTCAAACTAAATTTCATTGAAAACTAAAATAGCGTTTTTGTAGTTGTTATGCGTTGTTTTTTTAGACTTGTAGGTTTTTAATTTACTAATTCTTGAGGGCTTGTGAGAATAGTCAACCAATGAAAAGTGATTTGTATTGTTTCAAAAAATGGACTACTGGATACTAAATTTTTCTAAAAGATTTGTAGTTTTTGTTGTGGATAAGAATGCGTACAATCAACTAAACAATGGAGTTAGAATCAGAAGAAAAATTATTTTCAAGTAAGTTTTTCCTACAGGTTACGCAAAGCATATTGTCGAAAAGTCAAACGGTTGACAACAAACCGAAGTTGTCCTATGGTGCTCTCTTGATTTTTTTTTAAATGTAAAAAGTTAATTCTGATTAGTTTAATAGCCTGGAAACTTTTTTTTGATTATTTTGATTTATGCTTCGTTTAGGACCGACAACTTGGTTATACAATGGACGAGTTATCAAGAAGGAAAAGATCGCATCTAATCCTGGTGAGATCAGAGATTTATGTTGCCTTCTCCAAGCTGTTTTCAGTTTTTTTTTTAAAATAATTTTTGTTCATATTTTCATCTTTTCATTACGCCATAGTAATTGCAGCGATGAATCTTTTTTCTTAAATGAACTAATGTACAGAATATAAATTATATTTTCGCCAATCGTATTTGAACATTTTAGTTTCTGGAGATATGATGGAACCGAAAATTGTTTAGGTTTGATGAACGTTTTTGGCACAAAAACGAAAACAAAGTTAACAGATAATGAGTTTTCACAGTACAGCCAAATTATGCTGTATTGTTTGCTAGCGATTGCTTTTGTTTTGTTTTAGAAGATGTATACTTTGACAAATCAATTTTGGCAATGTGCTATAGATCTGAAAAAAAATTGAAATTTCTTTGGTCTGCTTATTTTTATTTTAGACTTTATTTCGATTTTATTTTTTTCAATTGTCGTTACTTTTGTTTATTTTAAAATTTTATACAAGTGTTCTGATTGGCTGAAATTGGTTTTCCATCATACAGTCTCTCGATCATAAGGGCTGGACGCCACCTGCACCACCAATGTTTTCAAAATTTTAGTATTTTAGTTTTTTGGCATATAAAGATCAATATTTTTCCTTAAAATCAATTAATCCGACTTTCGATACGAAAGTAACAAAATATTTGTGCTCGGGGTGGGCTTTTTTTTCAGACAAATTTCGACTTTTTAACTAGCCATTTTTGACGAATTTTTTTTTAAATCATTTGAAAGATATCGTTGTCTTGAGCTCACATTGAAAAAGATATTTCACCTGTGATAATTTTACGTACGATTACGGGGGTTTAAAGATTGACTTTGGCCAATTGGGGACAATTGGCGCGTGATATATTTCGCGCTATTAACGCGTGCGCGGAGTGTTAATCCGTCTTAGAAATTGTTCCAAATTGGTTGAAAGAAGCTTATTTGCCGTCACTGATTTGTTACAAGAAGCAAAATCTATCCTTTTGTACTTTATATAGCGTGTGGTGGGATGATTTTCATTAAGAAAGTTCAAGTATTAGAAAACAAAATTCATTTTGTTTTACTTCATTTAGTTTTCCAACGTTATTTTAGCTCCATAAACCTTAAAAGGTAGTCGGAACATTCAGAGTTTCGCCCTGATACGAGCAGTCTTGTAATAATTTTATGGGGACAATGAGACAGACGGTTGCATCTTAATTGATGGTAAGAATGCGTTTAATCGCATGAACCGGAAAGTTGCGTTGAGAAATATTCAGGTGCTATGCCCGAAACTCTCTCCTTTCTTTAGCAACACTTACAGAACACCCTCTATGATCTTCACTGGCAATGGCATTATCTCTTCCGAAGAAGGCACCAATCAAGGAGATAGCGCTGCAACGTGCATGTACGGGCTAGGAACTCTACTGCTGGTCAACATGCCTGCGGTTGCCAAGTGCTGCTTTTACGCTGATGATGGTGCTGGTGCTGGTGAGCTGTCCCGGCTCCTCGAATGGTGGGATAGTCTTACTGTCAACGGTCCAAAATATGGCTATTATCCGAATGCGCACAAGACGTATCTTGTTGTGAAAGAAGATCTACAAGCAGCAGCCAGCGCCCTCTTTGGTGACACCGGGGTCCGCATCTGCACTGGTCGGAAATATCTGGGAGCGTTTATTGGCGATGATCTTGGGAAATGCCAATACCTTCAGAGTAAGTGCGAGAATTTCTCCGATATGGTAGATAAAATCTCTACTATTGCACAAAGTGAACCTCATGCGGCTTACTCTGGCTATGTTGTCAGCCTTGAAAGAAAGTGGGGTTATCTACAGCGTGTTTTTACTCTCTCGAAAGTGCTGTTAACAATAAATTTGTCACAAGCCTGTTCAAAGGACCTGTAAATACTGATATTCGGGATCTGACCTCACACCCTGTCAGAATGGGTGGTATGGTTATTGAGAAGCCGAATAATGATATTGCCCTCACCTATCAGAACTCAGTTATTCTCAATAAAGTTATCACCGAGCAAATCATGAAACAAGAAGTCAGCTTATCCTACCAGGAAGCCCAAATAAGCAAAGCTGACATCAGGAAGCAGAATATCGCACCACATGAAAGAACCAAACTTGCCGCTCTGAAAAACTCAGGTACCGAGCTGTGTGCCATGATGAAGTATACCAATGAAAAAGGAGCCAATCATTGGCTCACTAGTAGGCCCGACAAGGAGAAAGGCCTGACTCTCAGTCGCAGTGATTTCAGGGACGCGATTCGGATGAGAGACGCCATCGTCTCGACAACCTTCCTACAAAGTGTGTCTGTTCAGCCGACTACACTTACAGTCACGCACTTCAGTGTTCCATTGGCGGTTTTGTGATCAAACGTCACATTGATTTACGGGACATAATGGGGTTGGCCCGGTAAGTTTGTGTTGATGTTAACTCCGAACCTGCGTTACATCCGGTTCTTCAAGGTGATGACATCAGAAGAAACACCAGCGAAGGAGCCCGTCTCGTAGTTTCTGCTATGGGATTTTGGGGGTATGGACAGAGAGCATTTTTCGATGTGAGGGTTTTCAACCCGCTCGCTCTCCAATACTGCTGTAAATCCGATAACAGTTTACAAGAAACATGAGCAAGAGAAGATCAACTTGTACCGCTCACGTGTTATCGATATAGAGCAAGGTTCGTTCACACCTCGAGTTTTTAGCTGCCTTTTAGCTGCTTTTTAGCTGCCCTTGAGTTTTTAGCTGCCTCTGAGTAAAATGATATCGCAGTTGTCTTATCTCATCTCCCTAAAAAGAAGTTGCAGTCAATCGGATGCTACTAACTGGCTAAGAACAAGAATATCGTTTTCACTAATGAGAAGTGCGATTCTCTGCCTCCGCGAAACACCTAAGCCAAAACATATTTCGTCTACTGACCTCTACTTTAACTCAACACTCTTCAACTAACTGATGAACAATTCCATTTACTACACTCAAGGTAGTCTTTGACTCTATTCCTTTCACTCTTGAAATTGGAGCAGTAGAATTCGTTTTAGAGTGTTTAATCACTTTAATTAATTACTTAATTATTTAAATTTTCATTATGACGAGCAGAATTCAAGTCTTCCTCTCTCTTTGCATGAATCGACCAGCGGTCGGTCACTGCGTGTTAGTTCTAGTTTTAGGTTAGAACGTTTTAAATTCACACTTCATTTTACTTCTTTTATTATTTAAGTATTTGTACAAACTGTCTCTACATACCTACCTAGATTATTAGGGTGACATTTTTAGGGTATTAGAACATATTATATCGTAGATAACTAATTCAGTCGTGATTCGAATGTTATTCATAAATTGAGAGTTTTTTTAGTGCCGACAGAAATTTGAAGATTTGGATTTTTGGTCTAATTTCGAGCTAAGGAGGTGAGCATCCAGGCGTACAAAAGCTTTTGTATGTTCAATTTACGCCGTGAAAGCTCATTTTCATTGAATTAAAAAAGGTTTATGGAGTTTTAGTGCCATTTTGGAATCAAAAACTTCATCAAAAAAGTTCTGCAAAAAAAATGTTTTTGAAAGTTTTTATAAATTTTTCAATCGGTTTTTTTTACTACGACTGTCGTATTTGCTTAATTGCTGTTTTTTTGCTCAGATCTTTTAAAAAAACACGCAGAAAAAAAACAACACTAATTTATAAAAACTTTTTTGTTCTGTTTCTAGACCAAGTTCGGAAAACTTTATACTAAAACGCAATAAAAGGCTATGTTATTTCAGCTAGCTTTTTTGCTACCTCGGTATTTGGTAACTCATCTGAGAACATCTGAGAAAGAAGCTTTAACCAAGCCTTAATGAACTAATGATTAAGGCAGTGGCATTAATCGAATTGGTTTACTATTCTAAGTTGTGATAGTTTGCAGATTTTGAGCCATTTTAGAGGTAAATTTCCCCTTTTGCTGCTGTTATTGAAGTTTTTGCGTTTTAGATGAGTTTGTACTGAATAAACACTTTTTCCATGATGTTTCTTTTAAAGCTAAATTTGCTATCTTTTTTTTGTTTAAAGTGTTACTGGAAATTTAGAAGCTGTCTTTTACTTCTTTTCCATTCACGCACAAATAAAACAAAACCCTAAAAAAAGAAATAACCTTATCCATTTTCAAAGTGATTGTTTCACTTGGATAACGATCAACGCGCGAATTCCCGTGGATTCTATGGATTTGTAATCTCTGTGTACCAATTCTGTGGATTCGTTTAATTCAGAAGTGAAGAGTCACTTTGAAGTGTCACAAATATGGGCCAAAACTCTTCTAAGCTGTAAGAAATTGAATCTTTCTTTCTTTTTTTATTTTTTGGAGGTATATTATCCCCTTTTAGTGATGTGTTTTATTTAAAAAGCATTCTTCATGAAAATTCATAATCTAACATATTTTTGTTGTCTGTTTTGTAAGTAAAGTTGTTAGAAATTTGGAAGTTGTCTTTTGTTTCTTTTCCCTTCGTAATTCTGAGTTTTTTTCCTAGATGAAAAACATTCCTCGCCCACTCCGGTGGGTTCTTCGGATTCAGAAGCAGAAGTATCACAGCTTTGGGTTAAAACCAGAACAGAAAAAGGACCTGGCTCAGCCTACCTGGTAGATGACGTCAGAATGAATGGTCGAAAGAAACTTCTAGTGATAGGTAAAACTGGAACGGGTAAGAGCTCGCTCTGTAACGTTCTAACAGGCGTCGCTCATGATGCTAGTGTGTTCCCAGTATCTTCAGGAGCTGAAAGCTGCACCCTCAAAACCCAGATGGCAAATGTGTTCTACAATGGAGAAGGTGAGAAACCAGTGACCCTCATAGATACCGAAGGATTCGACGCTACAAACGATCTTGAGAACGATGCAAGAATTATAGGAGAATTGATTGCAACTTTGCAGAATAAATGCGACTATGTCAATGTGTTTTGCATAGCCATAAACGCAAACAATCGGAGATTAGATGGAGCTCTTGTCGGGATGATGAAGGTTTTTGAACAGATGTTTGGCCACGACTTCTGGGAGCAGGTCGTTATTGTTTTTACGCAATTCGAAATGTCTCAGAAGGCTATAAGGCGTAGACAGAAAAATAACGAGAACCAGACCGCTCAAGAACTCGCCGATGGTTATATTAAAACTTTGCGCTCTAAATTTAAGAACGCTGGCAAACCGAGGTGTTTGTTCATCAACTCACAAAGAGACGATGGAGACAACGACGAAGAAAAAGAGTACCAGGAGGCAGTTGATGAGTTATATGAGCTGCTAGACAAATCACCCTCCCTCGATACCAAAGAGTGGGCAAACGAAAGAAAATTAGTCGAAGGAAGAAATAAATTGCGAAGAAATCTGAAAGATATAGATGAGGCCCAGAAGCACGAGGAGCTTGAGAGGTAAGCAGAGAAAGGATCTGATGCTGTGCTGGTTTATGCAAATAAGGAGGGCGAAACCTACCTGTTTGAGGTCCCCGACTTATTCGTTAAATTTCTCGCTCGCACCGGTGGTAATTCCACGACTTAAAATCCATAGTCTGGACGTGGGCTTAAGTCGCGGACAAAGTCTGGGAATAGCGTGTCTCGGCCACGTGAACAAAACTTCTGGATCATTCTTTTAGCAGACTCGAAAAAATTTTTAAAAGCATATTGTATTCCATATCAAAAGCGGGTCGCTCAGCAAGTTTTTTCAAGCAGAGTTTGTGAGAAAATGTAAATTAGCATCTAGATTAATTCGGAAGATACTGCAGCATACCACATGCATTTTTTGGAGCGTTCGAGTCGGGCAAGGCAAAGGCATGCGTCTCTAAGCCCGAGCGACGTGCATTTACTATGCATAAAAGAGATATGTTTTTTCAAGGCTGCCACTAACCATGTTTAGGCTTCGGTTATTTCAACGTTTTTTTTCTTGGTCAGAAGTAACGCTTCATTTTAGAATAACCCGTCAGACGTCAAATTGTGTTTAAAACAACACAATAAATAAAAGGAAAAACAAAAACGCTGTCTTTACACATAAAAAGAATAACAATTTTTTACTTGAATTTGATTGTGCTTTTCCTTTTAGTTCAAAATGAATCATAAAAAATATCGAAAATTCAGTAAATTGTATTTTCGATCCTTGAAGAAAATAACGGAAAGATTAGACTGACGTGTTTTTTATTCAGGCTAATTTTAACGCTGGGAACAATTCTTTTGATCGGAGTTTTTTCCAACCCCAATTCAGAAAAGGGCAACACGTCAAGTACTTAGGCACGGTTGGAAAGTTGAAATGCTTTAGTAAGAAACAAATCAGTTTCTTCATATAGATGTTTCTGAATTTATATCCTACACGCTAAAATGAATTACAGAAAGATGATTTTAGCGTCTCGCATTCGAATCAAAAAACCAAATCAATTTCCTCAATTCAATTTGGGTCGGATTAATGCCGCTCACGCGTGTTACAAGAACGCAATTTATCGCGCATTAATATCCCAAACTGCCAAATAAGCAGTTTCCAACCCCCATAATTTTACGAAACTGGTCACAGGTAAAAGGTGTTTTTTTATTTGAGCTCCGGACAGCAATGTTTTTCAGATATTTTGAAAACTTTCTCAAAAACGATGATATTGATAAATAAAATAAAACGAATTTTTTTTCTCTAAAATTTAAAATTTTTTATGAAAATCATCCACCCACACGCCATATTAAGTACAAAAAGAGAGATTTCGTTCCTTGTAACAAATCATTTATGGCAAATAAGCTTCGTTCAACCAATTTGGAACGATTTATAAGACGGATTAAATCTCCGCTTACGCGTTAATAGCGCGAAATATATCGCGCGTTAATTGTCCCAAAATGGCAATCTTTAAACCCCCGTAACTCTACGAAAAAAGATCACAGGTAAAATATTTTTTCAAATGTAAGCTCAGGACAACAATAGCTTTCGAATGAAATAAAAAATTCCGTCAAAAAAGGCTAGCTAAAAAGTCGAAATTTGTCTGAAGAAAAAAAAACCCACCCCGAGCACAAATATTCCGTTACTTTCGTATCGAAAGACGGAACAATAATGCGTTTATCGAACGTAGCAAATGATTCCGGCTCGGAAATTATTTCGAACTGCGCTTAGGGAAGCCGGTAAAGGTAAGTATTTCTCTGGTATTGGTAAGTATTGCAAAGTTTATCATTTTGAACTTGACTTCGAGTGCGAAGGATGACTGCCAAAATATTTAAATTTAAACAATATTTTTGTTCGAAAGTCTTTCTTATATGTTTCATTCAAAACATCAAACAAATTATGCTATAGAACAGTTCCAAAAAACCGAAGCTTCTTATTTCTTCCTGCAGTTTTGTATTGAAACTTGGTGTCTACTTCAGTGCGGAAATCGACAAAACATAATTTTTTGAGCTTGATCAAAACAATTGTTTCCAAAAGTTAATCAGTCTTGTCATGCTGTATGCATAAATGCATGATTTTATGATGTATGGCACCTTGAGCAAGTGCGCTCAGAATGATTTTTCTTGTTGTAATTTTTTGCAATCTCAAAATAGGTTAGAGCAGGGTTGTACCAGTCTCTACTTATTTCTATGCTTATTATTTTAGAATCTATGTTTCCAAAAAACGCATAAGCTTTTTTCTATTTTATTTTTTAATAATTCCACCATTTGTAAAAATGATTTAGATTTTATTGTGCAAGGAACAAAGAAACCATGTCGTAAACATGCTAACAAATAATGGAGGTTTTATAACAGCTTCTGTTTGAAAACTGATATTTGGCAATTTGGGTTAGTTTACGCAACTACTATTTCTATACTAAGATTTTGATCTAGTTTTCTGTTTTTTCAGCATCCACTTTCCTTCATGTCTCAAACTTGCAAAAAACTTTCTGGCTCAAAACAAATATAATTTCAAAAAATTTTATGTTAGCTAAAAATTGTTTTAGGCAAGAGCTTCGTGAGAAATTGCAACAAGATTGCTGGAAACAAGTACCAGAAGACTACCGCAAACTTTTGAAACAAATTAATGACAACTACGAAGAAACCAGTAAGTCTGAAAAAGAAATAAGAGATGAAAATAAACGAGCAGTCGAAGAGATTTGGGCATCTCAGAAGAATGAAATAAAAAATGATGCTGAAATGAATGATCAAATTCTCGCATTACAGCATGACAAGAATAGGCTGGAAACTGAGCTGAAAAAAAATGCATCAGAGATTGAGAGTCTCAAAACGGTTATCGAGAAACTAGACAACACAGTCCGGATAAAAATGGAAAAAGCTTCAGTCAATGATAGAAATAGAAGGCCACAGATGGCGAAAGTTCGACCACCGACCGCTAAAAGCAGAGCTGATCAAATCGAAATGCCAGAATTACAGAGCATGCAAGCCAGCGAAGAAGAACTAATTGAAAAGGAAAAACAGAACAGGGATCTGCTTCATAAAGCAAATGTCCTTTATGACCGTCAACGAGCCCTGGAAATTCTCAAAAAGAAACAACAGGATAAAGAAGCACTAACCGGCGAAAAACTTCAACAAGTGAGCATCAAAAGATTAGAGGAGGAAGCCAAATATAAAAAAGGGTTGCGTCAATTATTATTGTTAAACCAATATTCAGATAAAGAACTGCTTAAGGGATGGCAAAATGCCGCTTTAAAGATCCTACAGGAAACCAAAGGTCCTAATATGACCAAAGGAATGAACATCCGGGATTTCCTTGCAGATACATATCATGGATCTACTTGGTTTGTGTACATAATCAATAAAAACGACAAGTGGGTGCACAAATTCAACAGTGGCACTAAAGAGTGCTGGAAATCTGATCCCAAAAACACTGGATGTCCCAAATCTGGAACACCGTGTGATCTGCTTATTTGGGGAAAACTTCTCGAACGCGAAGAACGTTATTCTTCGAATTGTAATTGGGAGAACGTTGCCAACTCAATTGTTGAACATGCTCAGGATAAAGAGTCTGAAACTGAAGCAATTGCTTACATCGTAGGGAAACTTGAGGAAAATCGCGTACCGTGGCTGCAAGTTCTAGTAGCACCCTACACATCGGTCACTAGAGTGTCATACTGTCATGAAAACTACTGCTTCACGCATCCAATTGGTGGTGGATCGTTCAAGTTCTTTATCGAGGTTTACACAGGGGGCTAGAAGACTGATTCATTGGAAGAAACTTGTAACCTCACACTGTAAATAATATAGCTAAATAAATTCAAAGGATTTGGATTGCATAAATATTTGGAATTTTGCAATTTGTGAGTAAATATAATCTTCTAATTAATTTTCCGCTGATCACTTGTGAATTTTACGGCGAGGAGTACGGAACGCTCCTCCATATGCTTTTATAGACCTTTCCACTGTACCCAGGATGTCTTGTAGATATTAAAGTTGAAACTTTTCCAGCATTTTCAAGCCAAAACTGGTGATCATCAGAAACTACAGATCGAAAACGTGCAGCAGTGTTGGTTTATGCGTTTATAGGACAAAATTTGAGCGTTTCTGTACTTAATTTTTTTTCTATGTTTTGGCCACCAAAAATATGAAAAAGGTTAATCACGCAAAAAATTTACTGTTTTTTGCACTGCCCGATTATTATGGATTTCAAAATAAGCTGAAGCGGATGGGAGATTTTGGTAACGACGAGGAAAGGAAGCAACATTTGAAAGAAAATTTGAACAGTCAATGACGTAATTTTTTTTTCTCATAAACCAATTTGTTTTACTGTTTTTTAAGTTCTTCTGGAGCACATATAAAGGTCACCCGCACTGCGGTTCCATGGGTTGAAATCGATTATAATTGATCTTCGTGGTCAGAAATATTCCATTATCATCCATTGTTTTTAGAGAAAACAAATTAGTTATAATCCATTTAAAATTGATTATAATGAATTATAATGGATTAAGCTGTCTATAAACTTTGTCAAATTTTCTGCAAACTATGCAGCTCTTTCGGCATTACTCACAGCCTACTAGATTTCTAAATCTTATCATAACTCGCGTTTAGTTAAATTTTGTAAAAGTATATTTCTGCACCTACCCTTACACCCATACCCCCACCTAACCACCCCCGCGTGCACACCCTGCCTACCTTCACCTCTCACACTCCCCCACCTAACCCTTTTCAACTACCGTATCCACCATTGAACACACACACACCTTCCCTCCCCCCTAATTTTTTGGGGTGGGGGCATAAGAGTCTGGAGGGGTTGTTTTTTTCCCTTACTTTTACCGTAAATTTAAGAAAGGGTTAAGCGGTGGGCAGGGAGGGTAAGTGGTGGTATTAGAAGAAATGGTAAGTAAATGGGTAGGAATGGTGGGAATTATTGTGAAGTATTTATGGTGAGGGGGAGACAAGTAGAAAGCAATGCACCTTTTTGCTGCAATTAAAGTTGAAACAAAATTTTGCAACTGGAACACATTCAACTTTTGAATATTTGATTTCAAGGTTTTGGAAAATCCAGGCTCTTATTCATAAAATTTTTTTAAAATCTATTATAATCCCTTACAACCCATTATAATCCAATAAAATCTATTATAATGGATTATATTGATTTCCACTTCATTTTCTTTATAATCGCCTATTGATCCATTATAATCGACCGGTCATGAAAATCAAAAATAATCAATTATTATCCATGTAACCTCATTGCCGGCTGTGATGGTCCCGCTATTTTGACGCACGAGTCAAAAACATAAGAGGCAACAGTAGAATTTTAACAAAAGATCAATTCCAAACTTAACAAAAGTCAATTCCCAATTATATCAATTAAAAGCAATTCCCAACGACCATTTAAATTTCTTTAGCAAATAGATCCAGTATTCATTCAGCTAAGTAGCTTTTTTGCTTGGGTATTAGTTCAAATGTCTCAAGCAAACAAAGATGTTGGGTACTCAGGATTTGGTGCGGTAACTGTCCCCCACACTCCTTCACTGCCCCCTCTTAGTTCTCTTGTCACTCATTTATCAACTCATATTGGCTTTGGAGAATTAATACGGGACACTACAGCGTACAAACATTTTTTTTGAGCCTACGACTTAAATTAGCCTTGTTTTTTTCAACGCTTTTTCACCATTAGTGTTAATGTATTCTTCAGAGAAAAAAAAATAAAATTTGTTACATTTTGTTTTGCTTTGCATCAATTTGTTGTTGTTAACTCCAAACTACTACTATGACAAGTTGTTTTGTCTCGAGCGCAATTTTTTCTGATAATTTTATACGGCTTTCTCTTTCTGTTATCCCATAAGCATGCCAGTTACAGGACTTAAGAGAAAGATTTCAGATAAAACCACTGTAAAAACACGGTAGACAACCCTCCCGATTGTAATTATGACACAAAATTGCATCAATTGAACATAAAATAGCATCATTATATTCCACATAACTGACCTCATTGCAAGCTGTGATAAAACCGGCGTAATATAATTTTATGAAGGATTTAGACACGCTAGTTATTTCCATGAACGACAAGATTCTTATCTTCATGAACCGGAGCTCCAATGCCAACCTCGCCCACATTCAACACGAAGTCCTCATCATTGACGAATGTTTACGATGAGCCACTTCATGCAACCCAGGATGCCGAAATTCGCATTTCGCCTCACCACAGCCCGCTAATGGAGCTCAACTCCACAGCAGCCGATTTTGGGACACCGCATCAAGGCCGCAACCCATTGTCGACATGTCATTGAGGGTTGACTCATCGTTCACGCACCCCAGAAGCCCAAGTTCATGGAATGCAAAACGGCCTCAACTTCATTTTGACAAAAGACATACGGAAGCTACAACGACGCAACTATTGAAGTCTTTAGCTCCATTTTTTCAGCCTTCAATAATGCGCCCAATCGGAACTCAACTCCGTTTGACAGGACAGCATTTCCACACTCAACAACAAACACACCAGTAACAGAAGTGTAACAGTAACAAAAATACTCAGCATCCCCAATACTCAACAAGCAATCCCCATTTTGCACACTTTCATGTCTCAAGTCAACAGCCAATATTTCTCAACAAGTTCAGCGCCTTCAGACCCGTTCCTTCCGCCAGAGCTCCCGCAGCAACCCATCAAGCCTTTAAAACACACATGAGCCAACACATACAAACCCCGTCCTCGGATCAATGCTGCAGTTAACAGTCTAATTGGACAGCAGAGCTTATCGACCAAGCACAAAATGGACCTGAAACCAGCCGAATCGATATTTGGAACAAGCACAGCCCTTCATACAACCGCATCAAGATTTACCAACGACCAACGCAAAACCATCAACCCAATAACAGTGCAGCCGGCATCATACATGAATGATGCGATGAGCAGCCGCCAGCACGAGCCTAATCAAGTGACTGAATTCAGCCAACAACCCTCACCTCAGCATGCATATCAAGAGACAGCATATCAAAACCTATCAGCTGCCATTGCATCTCCAAACGTGACACATACGCAAGAAGCAGTACGCCCGACTTCGGCAACCAGCAGAAGATTTCAAAGATCTTCAGGAAATCAGATCCAGTAGTCCAGTCAATTGCATTCGACGGAAACCCGGAAAAATGGTTAGATTGGATCGGACTCTTCAACGCGACAACCTACAACACGGACTTCTCCCACTTGGAGAAAATGACCCATTTACGGCTACTTGTTTCCAGAGATGCCAACTCTCTCACTCGCGGGTATGGATTCTACGGATTAGTATACAATTAGCGCCACAACGCCTGTATGGAAAACAAATTTGGGAACCCGACGAAGATAGTAACTTTCTTTTTTCGATGACTGGACAACATCAGCAGCCCGACTCTACGACACAAGAGGAGCATCAAGGATCTCGCTAGCTTGCCGCAGACAATCTTTGACAGCTTCACAACGCTTGGATTCCATCACGATCTCCACTCTACAGCGAACGTTTAGACAATTTTGAGAAAACTGCCGACACCCAGCCGACTGGCATGGAGTCGCTACAACCTTAAATAATTTCTCCAACAGCCTGGATCGACAGTTTTCAACCATTCAACCTTTAAATTAAACAAGTCGCCACTCATTCTTATACGGGAACAAAGAGACAAGTTGCCATTCACATACAAACAAAAGTTAGAGCAAAAATTTAAAACCTAATGAAAGAAGGCTAGATAGTCAAGCTAGGCAGATGCAGCAGTGAAGCCGATGAAATCTGAAATAGACTTAGCAGCTGTGATTATCACTTTCAGATCAGAAAGCACAGTATCTTGTGACTATAAGTATATATATATTTTTCGTTCAGTCAATTATCCTTAGATGAAACCGTGAGCAAACAATGCAACTTTATCATCGTATGTGGCGAAATTATTGGCATATACAAACTCACCACCTGGTTTTATAAGTTAACAGGTAAGCCGAAAGAATTTCATAGGGCGATGGAAAACAAATATATAGGACTGCAAAGCGTATTAGGCTTTTTAGACGACATCATAACAGTTTCAAAAGGATCAATTTTAAAACGAATAGTCGAAGAAGCCATGTCGAGGAGTAAATGCAAACTCTAACAAAAAGTAACATTGAAATCGATGGCAAGGGTATGAGACTCAAATAGAGAAGCAGTAAGGGTATTACCACCTCCGAAGTCACTTAGGCAACTCAAATCCTTCAAGCGTGTTCTCAATCTAATCACATGTCCAAGTCCATAGTGATTTTTTAGATGCACACAAAACAACTAGGATCTATTGAAAGTCAGCAATCAAGAGATAATTATCTGGACTACACATACGCAAGAAGCAGGACTACACATACGCAAGAAGCAGTACCGCCCGACTTCGGCAACCAGCAGAAGTTTTCAAAGATCTTCAGGAAATCAGTTCCAGTAGTCCAGCCAATTGCATTCGACAGAAAACCGGAACAATGGTTAGATTGGATCGGACTCTTCAACGCGACAACCTACAACACGGACATCTCCCACTTGGAGACAGTTTTGAAAAAGGAAGTTACTATCTTCGTCGGGTTCCCAAAGTCGTTTTCCATACAGGCGTTGAGGCTCTTTGTTTAGACAGCTTTGAGAAAACTGCCGACACCCAGACGAATGAAATCGCTACAACATTAAGTAAAGTCTCCAACAGCCTTGGCTCATTGACTTGAGTATATGGTATCTTCTACGCCGAAGCCTGGAGCGACCTGTCCACCAGCACTCAACAAGCGTTTTCAGCCAGCCGACCGAACAATCACATCAACATCCTGATAGGTCAATGAATACAACAACATCAGCCAGGACAAAAGGAGCCTTGAAAGATTTTTTCCTTGACAAAAGCAGTTGCCCCTATCTCGGAAAGTACCAGCACTT